CGGTATCCGAGTCCTTTCGACAAAATGTTTGCTTAATAACAACGTTTTATGACAATTTCATTTGTTAAAAAAACGAGAGACATTTAAACAATAGAAACTCTGGGTAACCCAGTAACTGCGAGTGCAGCCGCGGTTGATCGATAAAGAGAGAAATGCGTTTCGCGTGGTGAAAGTCGGTGAAAAAAGGGTGAAAATAAAACCGTCCTCGTTGGTTTTGTACTGTTTTAAATACACACTGTCTCGTTGAGCCGAGTTGTTGTTCGTTCTCACGCGGAACGTGCGCGAGGGTAGAACGAAAGAAATCCGTTCACTTTGTAATTACAGTCGCGCCTGTTAACGCGACCCTGCACTGTTTTTCTTAAACAGACCATTTTACGCGAGAAAAAAAATATTCATAATAATTTGTTTCGGTTCCAGTGAAGAAACGAGAAAGCGAAATTTCAAGGAATTTAAGATCATTATCGAATACTGATTGAAGATCAGTGTAACGCATTGATTATTTACAAGTATGAATTAAATAAGAGATGTGCTCAGAAAACATTAGTCAGAATAAAACGTAATTACTTTTCTTTTCATTTCTCCCAACACTTCCTTGATACCTCTTACTCTGTTCAATTTTTAATACAAAATTCATTGCAAAAGACGTATACTAAGCAGTATTCGTATTTCGTATTTGGTTTTTAATAAAACAGACGGTGGGAAGCGTGGTTTGAAGCACGATTGGCCACAATTAAGTAACATAGCCGCACGTTTCGAAATTATTTCATAACGAGACCTAGATTCGAGACGCTCGCGACGCGTCTCGTCGGCCTGAAATTCCCGCACTGGTCGCGTCAATGCTTATAATATGTGTAGTTGCCAGAGTTTCATTCGCTTCACGGCGAGCATTCGCGATTAGACTGCAATTACTGACAAAGGAATGGGATTTCTGATGTCATTCCACGTTATTGCCGCTATAAACGTTACGTGTGACTAGTAGTCGTTAATGGGCGAATACCGCGCGCTCGCAGCTTATTCAGGCGAATTGGTTTTTCATCAGTTAAAATGTAACTGACCCCATTGCGCTTGTTTTCATCCCAATTTAAATTCTCCTAATTGTGCACTTGTTTTCATTTCAATTCATGTCGGAATGTAAATATTTGTATGAAATATTTAAAAGGATGGACAGTCTTTAAATACCGTGAAAGAATTCCTTAAACGTACGTACAGAATAGTCTTAAGAAAATTCTGAGATGATGGTGTGACCTGGAAACCCGATGGAATTTAAATTAAACGGCCTAAATAACTCTTCTGTTGAAAATACTCCCGCGAAACAGTTTCAAGTAAGACGTATTCAAAGTCTAGTTTTTAAAGATGTAAAGTCATCTTAGAATTTATAAAAAAAAACATTTTGCATTACACTTCGTGTAAAAAGGACGTCCTCATTGTCTTCCACTGCACATTTTCACCAAATAACCCGTATTAAAAGAAAGTTGCAGAACCGTTCTGAATTAAACCATTGAATTGACTGAAGTAATTTTTAAATAACGCAAGCTCTTATTCATGAAGCGATCAGATCGTTAGAGAAAATTACTGCAAAGTGTCCTCTCAAACGATTTATATTCAAGAATCTCAGACAGATTTTCACAAAAACTCATTTTTCACTCCGCTTCATATTCCACATTCTCTCTAACCATTGTCTACTGGATCTATTATAAAAATTAAGTCCTGGCAATAAAAGAAATTCACCAGGAATATCCTTAGAATTAATCGTAGAAATCGATCCCCTTTTTTCTACTTCTGCTGTTCTCTCTCGTATATACTCCTGAATCATGCGATGACGGTATCGTGCCTTTCGATCGACAGTACTGTAATTGTCCATTAGAAATTGATGGAAAAAAGGAGAAAAATGAAAGACTGGGGGAGAAACAGTAACGGAGAAGGGGAATGATGTTAGCGTTTGCGATTAAGCTGCGAACCGTGACCAGTGATCCCAATTTTTCATAGAGAGAACGGGAGAGAGGTGAGAAAACGCGAAAGTATCGGGGTCGAGCCATTAAACACTCGTTCGCAGTTTCCGGTATGCCAGAGGGGTTCGATGATTCCATTTTTTCATGGAAAACGCGAAAAGGAAGCATGAAAAATTGCAGTCAGGCTTATGGTCGAAGCAGAAGGGAGGAATCGGGGCAGATAAACGACTCTATTGCGATCGTATATGAGTTATCTGTACCGATGCTGGCGCAATATGGCCCGAAAAAACGGTATCGAAAGATATCAAGTGCAGACCTTATGTCGCTTTTTAGAGAAAATCGGTCACGACGGTTTTATCTGCTTCCATGTTTGATGATTAGGTCGTTGAATAAATCAAACTGTGCTTAGTTACCTTGAAACCGACTATTTTCAATTTAACTGAAATTACCGATACTATCCTCGATTAAAATTACTGAATATTTATGTACTTGAGAACCAAATTTCAAATTGATATTTTTTAAACTGAATCATAACATTCATAAATCACTTCAAAATAATCGACTCCTTATTACAATATAAATTGAATTGCACAAAATTGTGTGCCAAGAATTTGAGTAACGTTTAGATTCAAATATTTAGTAAGTGACGCGTAAATCAGTCCATTATCCGATTGAATCAAACATCAGATTATTGTATCACTAAATGTAAACATTGAATCATTTCGACATCTGATACGAGCATTTCAGTATAAATGCTCACTTCATGTTTCACCAGAAATATCTATCATAAGAAATTGGATATTATTATATTTATGTACACGAGTATTAAATATTCAGAACATTTTCCCATCAAACGACTCAAAAAAATAATCGAGCATCGGATTACTCGAGTAATCGTGGTGGTACCACCTTTCAACGGCGAAAAGGTTGCGAGAGGAAGTCTAACAAAAGGAAGCACAATCGGGAGCGCGGGTCAGCCTTTTTCTTTCGGGCAACCCACCAACTGCTCGAATAGCTCTCTGGCTCCCTCCGCTCGACCTAATCCGAGAGGCAGGTGGCTTTAACCAGGCTACCAAGTAAGTGGGTCCTTTCGTATTCTTAATGTTGGTTCCGGGTAAACATGAACCCTTTAAGACTACTACGATCTTGGGCCAAACTCGATCTAGTAATTGCAATCTTAAGGTTGACTTCAATTCATTGAATATTTAAATTACTGTTCTTGTCAAAGGAATAAATTATTCGGATGCAGCTAAATTCGTTTCCAATTGGAATTCAGTTTGAAGCCTCCGTTGAAGTATGATCTACTTGCAAGTTAAATTTAAGCTCGCATTAGCAATGGTCAATGCATTACGCAATGATCTATATTTCACTGGTGCTTTGAGGCTGACCTAAACTCGATTTAATCATCATCTGTTCCTCACTTTCTTAACATCATTTGTTCCCAACTTGTAAAAGATTGTTTTTTTATTAGAAGAAAACAAATGAAATGCTTATGTATGCATTTGCAAATTAAATTTTTTTGTATCAACTCAGGCAAATGTGCTTACTGAGATTTGAGAAACAGCATCTTTTAAACATATTTAAATTAATATAAACAGGTCGGATTTTACCTTAGCCACGATTTATGTCTGAAGATCGTTCTTCAATAAGAATCAAGACGTTTCCCAATTAAGGTTACCTTTACCGTACCTTCGTTAACCTTCCTACCTTAGTGCCGTTACGTCAAGCTGTTTATAAATATTTAGCAACACGTGGCAGTGATTATTAGAGACAACGAGGCGATCAATTAACTTAATTCCGCGTGAAATTCAATTAAGTTTAGTAGGTGTAGGTACATGATGTTATCTGGTGGTGTAATTTTGTTCCTGTTAACTGAAGCGGAAATCCTTGTTACTTAATGATATGTGTAAAGCCAGGAGCCTTTACTTGACAATACAAAAAATTTAATTTATCCTTATTGGTCTAGACAGAACTTCAAATTGTTCATTAAACTTTAACTTACAAATTATTCCCTTTACTTGATTTATGTTCTATAAACTATACAGAGCTGGTTTTAAAGAAGCAAGTATTATAACGAAGAGTATTTCAGCTACGAATTTTAATGAAAAAAGTGAAAACTGGAAAAACTGAGCTGGAACGAACACGATTTTCTTTGAGGGAATAGTAAGGGCTCGGATTCGGACACGGTTCGATGGTCGTTCGTCCTTAATTAAGGCAGACCTCTCGACTGGACGAAAGCAAAATGAAAAAAAGAGCACGTGTTCAGGCCGGCAAGCAATTTCTGGCCACGTAACGGGACTCGTGAATTCGTCGCTGGGATCGCAGATTTCGATCGCTTTCACAATTTGATTTGCAGCATCCCGATATCCCTCACGTTCTACAACCCTTTTCTTCAACCCCTTTAGAAATTTCTCATGGTTTTTTATTCTATCTAGTTTTGCAGGCACTTTCTAGTGAGAAAAACAGATCGGACATTATCATTTTTCCAATGAAACCTTCTAACTTTAATTTAAGAAATTTTTTTATCGAATTATAAGTACCAATAGAAACTTCCATAAACTTAGTTGATATGAAACTTATCCAATATGCATTGATTTCACACATACATCTACCATTCTTGTATTGTGAACAAAAATGAGAGCAACGTAAGCCTTTGATCAAGTAAAAAATACATGGGTTTGGCACGATCCTTATAAGGAATCACTGCAAATCGAAAAGAACATACGATATTGCTCTATAATCTTCAATATCTCGTCACGGAATGATTCTACAACTGCAATTACAAAGTATTCATGCACATATGCAGTACAAGCTAAGTCTTGTAACTCTCCTTCAATCCTTATGCTGCAATATGGAAGTAGTGATCTATAAAATATTTTTTTCTTTTGCACGCAATTTTTGTGTGAACATAAGATAAAAGATACGAAACGTATGATATATTTAAGATATAATTCTCCTTAATGCTTAATCCTCTTCTAGATATTATAACTCATCGAATGATTGTAATTAAAATCATATTACGAATGCGAGGAGAATGTCAAGTTTAAATACCTGAATGTATCCCAGCATCGGCGTCTGCGTCCTCGAACACCGAAGACTCGGTTCCTTCGTCGTTATCCGCGACGGAATCGTCCGGCGTTTCGTCCTCCTTCGATTTCTCGCTGTTCGTGCGATGATTCTCCGGCCTAGTGGGTGTCGCGACAACCGGACACGGACTATCCACCGACGCGTGTCTTCCGCTAGTCTTCACCAAGGTGCTCGTACTTCTGACTACCTTGGTGCTGTGCGTTCTGCGTATCAACAAGTTGGTGAACGTGGTGCTGCCATTCTGTTTGCTCCTCGACTCCGTGGTAGGACCGGCGATCCTTCCGTTCGATTTCGCTTCGTGATTCTTCACGCTGGAACGTTTCTCTTGTTGCTCGGTCTTCTTCTTCTCGTCTTCCACCTCGAAACACGCTATGGTGTTGTTCAAGCGACTGTCTTTTTTGCTAGCATCCTTCCTACCGGTGAACCGACTCTGAAACCTCTCGATGGTCTTGAACGATCTGGTCCTTTCGACCTTCTTCCTTGGATCCGGTTGCTGCGTTCCGTTCGACGTCGAGCTCGCTTTCGGCGTCTCGAAGATCTTCGTCAACGACTGCACCTTGCCCCGCGGCTCCGGGAACGACTCCTTCGAGCTCGACAGCGACTCGCTGTTGCTCAATGTCCGCGTTAACACCACGTTCGGCACCGTCTTCGACGTGGTGATCGGATACGTGTTGCTGATGAACTTGTCGCTCGTTTCGGCACCGGTCGTCTTCGGGATTTTCGAGGGCTGCCGACCATCGGTGTCCAACGACACGTAGAACGTCGACCTACGTTTCGGTGACTCCTCGCTACTCTCTGCGTTCAACATGTTCACCGACCTCTACGGCTCGATCACATGTCACGATTCACGTTTCGTGATTCACGCTATGTACGGCCCTTGATAACGTTTATTCAAGAATCGCTCATGGACGAACATTACATAATCATACGTGCGTTTTTAATCATCTAAACAAGATGACTCATCGACTAAACGCATGAACATTTGTTCGTACTGATATTTGTTGCAACCTTTCAAGTTCGTGAACAAATATTTTATCCAGATGAAAGAAAACTTTTGAAAGCGGATAATACCTTTAGCTTGAAATCGAATCGGGATCGTCTAGCGCATGTTACATGCGCTATAAAGTTTACACGAACACGGCATATGTTCCTTGCGACCGGTCCAGCGGTCGAGTTCCCTTAAATTCACCTTACGCTTCCTCCGTGCCGCACGAGGGAAAAGAAGAGAGCGAGGGAGACGATTACGAAGGATGGAGAACGCGGCGTTCCTGTGCTCCGAAACTGATTCTCACTAAATATAGTCGCAGGAACACGCGTATATCGTCGACAAACAAACGTGACGAGCCCACCCTTCGCCGCTTATTGTATACACACGGCCGATAGCGCGAACCGTTGAACCGCGTTTTTACACTATCAGCCGATATGTTTTTGCTGGACTACCGTCGCTGGTGATATCGAATTCACTTCCATAAACAATCGGATCGTCACACGCCCCAAATCACGAAGCCTGACACCTGTTATTCACCTACTTTGCGTTTCTTCCACTTGCTCTCGCCACCGGATGAATCACAATTGTGAGGGAAGCGTTCTTACACTACGAGCATCCTCCAGCACACAGTGCTACGGCAGTAACGCAGGTATCGTGCATAATACGAACGGGAAAGGTTTAAGGAATGCACGGGGAATACCATCCGTTTTCCAAGACGAAACACCGCGGTGATAAGACGGACCAAGAATTCAGAAAGAGAGAACACTCTATCGTTCGTTGCGTGCATGGACCACGGAATCAGCTCGATAGAAAGGAGGCGAAGCGGTCGAGCGAGAGGCACGAGGTACGAAGAAAAGTAAAAGGGTCTGAGTCACGGCGACAGGATTGGTTTGCTTGCTCGTGCTTCGTAGCAGCCGTCATCGCGGAACTCGCGCCGATCAGGTCCACGTATTAATTGTTATTTACACTCTTTGAGAACGTACAGGTCGCGCACTATAGCAGAGTTACCGAACGATGAGACTTACGAAAAGCCGAAGGACATGCGACGAACGCGACTTAAACGAATCCGAACAGCGAACGTCTGCACGGCAGACGGGTTCACGACTATCTGCCCGAAGACCCGTTGTACGCGACACGCCAACGCCTCTAGCGGCAGTTTCGAAGCTAACGCTCGAGACAACTCGCCGCCCGTAGCCGTAGCTTCTCTTCGCTATCACCAGCATTCTTTCATCATTTACTCATTGTAATAATTAACAGATTACAAATTTTGTACAATTAGGGAAAAGAAGAAATGTAAATACATGTGATGTATCAAAATGCATCGAATGTCCAAAGCTGTGTACGCAATGCAATGTTCAATTGATAAAAGAAAATTGTACCTAAGACGCATTTTTTAAATTGATACAAACGCTTAATTTTTCATAAAAATTCACGGCTTTTAATAGATGGACTTGCATCGATGCGAACTGACTTTTCAGATGTTCTAAAAGAACTTATTGTCAGTACATTCTGCATGTGTTTCATATGATTTGTTTTAGAAATTGTTAATGAAGTTAGTAAAATAAAAATTGTGTTTTAAATTCATTGGAACTCTTTCTGCATCAATTGTACGGCGTACCTACTTTAATATCAAAACGTTTTACTATAGGAAATTCCATTATCTGAGTGGAGTATCATGTATCAACAGATGTTTCCTCTTGTTATTATTTGAAACGCGAAATAAACTATATACATACATCATACATAATTATGTAATGCATTTAAAGATATCGTGAAACGATACAGTCGAACACATGGAGATTTAATAGCCTCAATCAGGAAATCGTTTCAATAAGTTGTCATATTTAAATTTAAAGCAGAAATGTGACAGAAATTATGTAGTATTTATTCAGTATAACATAAAATGCAATATGAAAATAATTTTCTCGTATCTGTACTTTGTGTATGTCTCATTTGCATTACTACGTATTTTTAATTGCATTTACTTAGAGACATTGACATCGAACCGTAGAGCTCATTCGATTTCTAAGCGTAACCGGGGTAAATGGATTCGGATTCTCAGGTTACATTGAACTTGACTTCATTCTTATTGCAGTCCATTACAGTCGATCAAGCTTCTATTTAGGAGCGGTCGTGTCGGTATCTTTTCTTCAAGCCGTCGAATAATACGAGAATCTAATTCCGTTTGCCATTTATAAGGATGAAATTCGCGTCACGTTCCACCCGTCCTGGCTGTGTATCAATAGCTGGTTAGACTCGTCTACCAGCAGGAGTACTCTCTTCTTCTTTAAACTGTTAAATGAACAGTTAGCTTGAAATAATTCAAGCATTATTGAAAATTTAGCCAATTTCTATGAAACTGAATTAGTAATCAATTAATCGATAATATTTATTGATAGGAAGTATGGTTCCTACTATTTAAAATTTTTTAAATATTTAACAATATCAATTTCAATCTTATGACGTTTCAACCAATTATACCACTTTAGTTTCAAGACGTTCGTAGATTATAAACACGATAGATCTTTGATAATTACAGCTAAGAATGATTAATCAGGGCTAAATTGGAACAAACTTTATCTTTTTGACTGTATCATGTCAGATATTTTTAATAGTAGGAAGTACTCACTGTAAATAGAAAATTGTCTACTTTACTAATTTTATACATGTATACTTATGCTTCAAAATAAACTTGCCACTTGTTTGCACTGAAACTGTTTTACAAACGATTTGACTTATCTTATCTATCGAAGTCCTACAATAAGAAGCAAACATTCTGTACGAATTCCATGTCTCCTATTATTCACAAAACGCGTACATTTCTCTCTTTTCCAGAAGTATCTACGAATTACTGCAGGCAAAAAAAAAAGTCAAATTATTCTGTTGCGTGGTTATTAGAAGCGTTTAAAACGACGCTGACTCACTTAGACCGGATCTAAGATCGCAATCGATAATAGCTTCCGGCTTCGCAGAGACGCTTTCGAAACTGGAGCAAGCATGATTTACTATCGCTAACAATTGCCCATATAATAAAAAATTGCGAATAGAATGCATTTAATTCAATCTTCTTAATATTATCTTGTACCCAATACTAATCAAAAGAACAATAATACTTCAGTTTACCAATAAACTTCTAAACTTCATTGTTTTTTTATTTTATGTTCAAAAGATTTACTAGGACGTCAAGTAAGAATGAGTTAAAAACTGTATGTATTATATATGTATGCATAACAAGAATGCTCTTTGTAGTATGTTGTCACATAGATACGGTAGGAAAGAAAGAGTGAAAAGTATACAAGTATCCAATCGATTATTCAAATTATGAAGTCAACATCAATGAATGCCAATAATTAATGCAATACTCTAACGCCTGCAGTTATCATTAAACCTTGTAATGCCACTTGAATTTCAACACGGATACAGTACGTAGGTATACCGTGTCATTTTTGTTATTCAAATTATAATTTCGCCAAGGCCGCATGCTCAGCTGCAACTACATTTCAACTAGGTTAGCAGAGCAATCGCTCAATTATTATCAATCGCACTGTCCCCAATCCAAGGCATCATCAATTCAATATTGCAAATGGCCTCGCGACGTGATTTAAATTTCATCGAAAGCGGTAGGTGTCATCTTTCGTAGTTGCAGTTTCACCGTGAACAGGTGCCATTTAAATTTCAATCTTTCAGTGGGCGCCTCTGCCTGCTATTTAAATTTCAATCAGTTGCGTAGCTTTTCATTTCGTCATATTATCAGCAACATTTTTCAAATATCAACTATTTTAAATAGATTATAAAATAAGAATACGTTTTCATCTGAGTAAATGCATTGGTCGCAATGTAATAACATTGATGACTGAATAATTAGAGCAACGTTATAACTATAATGACTTTCTAGATGTTTAGAAAATAATACAAACTGTCCAGGAAATTCTGTAGAGTTAATTTTTAAAAATCAGATTTAATCAAATGGTAAATTAATCTATAAAAAACAAAATTAATAATAATAGAAGCCATGAATTGTCGGAGCTATTACATAAGAGATGAACAATTTTCTTCAAGAAAATAATCAGATTTATCTCCAAGAAATTAAATTTTGTTACAAAAACTCGACGACTGGTCCATGCTCCATTTTTTAGTTTCTTTTGACCCACATTGCCAATATGAAAGTAATTTTAACTCGTACTGGGAATTCGATTAGAGGGCGATCAGTCAGCACGTGAATCATTGGTAAACCTCGGCAAGGGTTGCGCAATGAGTCAGGTTCGCGGACCGAAAACAACCTCAGGTATACATCGGTATTACGAGATTGTTTCTTCGACAGAGAGGTAAAAGGTTCGCTGCTCGCTTTATCCGTTCGGCCATGACGAAATGAACAAGGCACAAGGTGCTGCTCGAACAGGTAAAACGGATGGCCAGCTGATGCTCTCGCTGTGTAATCCAGCTACTTATCTTTTCGCGATGGCACAGCTTTATGGTTGTCGATAATCATTCCTGTTTGCACATGTGCGACTGTGGTCACGTATGGCATTTCTTTTTTTTAGTTGCTTCAAAAAGCAGGTGCTTCTCTGAGATACTTTGTGCAACCTGGTGGCTTTGGAAAAGGACTACAAGTTTACTGTTTGATTAAAGATTTGACCAATCAAAGTGAAGAAATTTCTTTACACTTTTCAGTGAATTGTATTGCGTTGCGTTGCATTGAATGTTTGTGAAATAGAAACTTCAATATTTTGTGAAAATTATGCGAAGTAATATAATAAATTATATGTGACGGTTGCTGAATTTATTTTAAGAAATAATTAGCTCCTGCGAGTGAAAGTTTATTAACGATGATATAGCTTCATTAAAATTAGATTCAGAGTATTTTGTTAAGGNGCATAAACTTTTGGGATTGACTGTATAGCCAATACATCCTTAAATGTAACAAGATGTTTGTTGCATTCGAACGTTAAACGATTCCCCTATCGATTAAGTTTGAAGTTATTTTACAAGCATTGTCGATTATTCGATAGTTATCGCGAGTCTGACTGAAAACAGAGGAAACAATGTCCTAGGTTCAGATAGTGGAAAAATGCGGAAAGCTTAAGAAATTCTCGTAGGAACGTGTAGTGGCCGTCCGAATTTGTTAAATTATGAGTATACGAATGTTATGTTAGACCAATCTAGTGTTTAAAGAAAAATTATGGCAACCACCGCTGGAGACATATGCGTACCACAGTGCGTCGGCGAGTGAGTACTGTTACCTCTTTTTAATCCTTACATATAATTATTATACTTAAAAAGGTCAATAGAGAAACTCCTTACACCTAAAGGCTAAACACATATCACCTGAAGTTAAACAGACTCTGAGCCTTAGTCTACCTTGTGAAATTTAATTGCTTACGTTTAGGTTAATTAAAGGTTGTTCTTTGCCAACATTTGCGAAAACTTACAATAAGGGCAACTTGTAGCGAACCAATTGCTATAACGTTAGGTGAAAGAGCGGTAATGAATCACAGTTCTGTCTGGTAGTTAATGCACTCTACATACATCGGTTACGCAACTTTTTCCATTTTCTAATCTTACAAACACTTACAATGTTTGTATAGGTTTATTGATTACAAAACAATATTTTGAAACTCAGAAACATTTCTACAACCTTAATGTATTCTACTAATTACAGAAGTCTTTATCGTTCTGTCTATAAGGAAACTCTTTAAGTAAAATGTAGTTCATGAAAAACCTAAGTTCAATTATTCACACATTAGCATTACATATGAGTATGCGTTTATGGCAATGTGTTCTAGACTGTTCAAGATATTGCATAATATTGTTTGCAAAATCTGTCAAATTGGCTGCTTCTTTTATTCGATTTAATCCATAGCAAATTGTTATTTCACGATCGTGAATGATTTAAAAAACGGACAGAATATACATAATGCTAGCATGTAGAACGATCGTCGCGCGACCGATTCGCATGATTTATTCGACGCTCGACAAAGCCTGTGCGCGGCACATATTTAAAATGTCGTTTCAATGCGATCGGCCTCTCCTCCTAATGAACCTGAATGCTCGCTCACTCGGAAGTGCCATTGCAGAAAATAAAATGCGCAACGGGTTTGAATTATGAACAGACATGTACCTACGTGCCGAGAGGGGCGCAGCTGGTCCAGTAACGTCAAGTTCCTTTTTAAACAGGGGTGTGGCGAAGCGATTTGCATATGCTGGCTGGACGCAACGCCGGCCGAGCACTCTTATTTCGGATTTCACTCATTGAAATCTCGTGCCGGCCGGTCGATACGAAATTCGCGAAATGCTAATCGTCGCACGAAAATCCAGGTGTCATCTGCATAACCGTGCAGAGTGTTTAGAAGGATAGACGTAGTCGAATAGAATGGTTATTTTAGATATTGTGATGGGATGAATGCAAATAGGAATTGATGCGATTTGCAATTCCAGCAAGGACACCGAGACTGTAGGCGGTTATACCGAAGTCGGGAAGCGAGAAAAATCCACGGTAAGAAATTCAATTGACTATAATCAATTTTAGTTAGATGATTATAATATAATTTTAGTTAGAAGAATTCAATGCTAAGTATTTTCTTCGATTTACAACCACCGTCCTTATTTCACCATGTTTCCTATTGCTAGTTTTTATAGACTAAATAGAAAAACAGATGTCTATTTGATCGTCATCGGTAAATATTGTGATTGCTCTACAAACTTCTTTAGACTACAAACGCAAGCTCGCACTATACACTTTCATATTCGCACTACCACGAGCAATTTATCAATCACTCTCACTCGTAAATCTTCATTCATCGCTGCACGCGCGATCCCACAAACGAATAAAAATCTCGACGTTCACCAACGTTGAAATTACTTTGAAATTCGCATCACATTATTCATACATATATTATATCCCACACGATTTCTAAAATCAATTTTATTCATACATTTTCTACCCATGGAATCTTTGAGCACGGATTCTAGCATATATCTTTGGGAATGAACAACAAATAAAATCTCCCACGAGAGTCAGTGAATCGCATGATACGCGAGAAAGACTTTCGCGTATCACGAACTACTTAGGAAGCGTATGTATGTCAGTGGAAAAAACGGTTGTTAACGTGAGAGACAAAGAAGAAAGAAGCGAGAACAGGGGCAGGCCGCAGGACGATACCAGCTTGTATGTAATTCGATTCCAACAGCACTATGGCCGTGAGTGTCCATCGCTGCCCAACTGCTATACCTGCTACCCGCCGGGATCCACGTTGCTGGAGTGTCGCCTCGAAGGTGATCAACCTGTGGCACATGTTGTCCAAGTACCTGGACGGGGATGCCCGGTCAACCAGAAAACGTGTCTAGTCGTCGAGACCAAGGGGACGGAGTTCGGACCATTATCCAGGTACGAAGTTGAAGTTAAAGCGAGCGGAAGATAAATGCATTTTCACGAACGAGATTAGGATAATCGCGTTCAAGACGGATGATCGAGTTTTCGGTTGGTATGAATGGATGCACGGGTAAAGTGAATAAATTGAGGACGATTAAACGCGTTCGGTTTTGAATGAGAGAGGATAGAAGAGTGAGAAGTGTCTGGAAACTAATGGCGTTTTTACGCTTTGGTCTACGTTTTCAAGATCTTTTTTCGTAGAAACTATACATTTACTCTGATGAGATTTACTCTAAGTGGTATTTCATTCTCCAGGATCGTGTCTCAGCCACACGAAGAGCTAACAAGATCCGCTGAAGCATTAATGCCGTGTCAAACACAGACGTCGCAGCTGCCAATGAGCTATTGCTTAGAGTCGAGCGAATGTAGAGGAGGACCAGTGGCCAGAGCTGTGATAGTTCCCACGAATAACTGTCCCTCGAGCAAAGTTACCACCATGGAGACCACCAATGAAGGGCATTACGACAAGCCGACGTCGAAAATCGTGTACGGTCCAACGATCAAGGAAACTACCGCCCCCATTTGCAACGATGAACCGGTAACCGTTATCAATTGCAAGGCCAATAGAAAGCAAACCGCAGTCAGATTGACTAGATGCTTGGTAAACGCGAACCCTGGAGCGAAAACACATTTTGAGACCTGCGTTGCGAGGGACGGAAGCTGTCCCACCACTATGGGTTTTGTACGTCCGTGCGATCAAGACCCGACCCAACAAAGCGTTGTTGAGACAAGCATCGACGAGTGCGGGATATCCAATGCGTGCATGGACACGTGTTCACAGGACGACAAGTTTTGCGGGTGTTTGGAGTCGAGGCCTTGCAAGGCCGGACCAACCGCCAAGATAACGCAACACAATGCACGCGACACCGTCCAAGACACACGGCCAGTAGTCAATAGATTCGAAGAGTCCACGGAGAAAGTTTATCGCACGCCGCCGGATTGCGTGGTCACTTGTTCGGGTTATAAAAAACCGAGGTTCAAGTGTCCTGCCAAAGATTTCCACCCTAGGATAGAACGTAGAAACGGTCTCGATCCGGGCGATCAAGAATACACGTCAAATCCTTTCAAACGTCCCATAAAAAAGCAGAGACAAGTCTGTCCCAGACATTGCTGTCCGCCTATACATAAGCCAAAATCAACATCGCATGGACAGTGCCAAAGAGCACAATCTGCGATTTCCAGATTGTCTGAACATTGTCTCCCCATCGAACGTCCGAAGTCGTGTCTAGATTCCCCCTCACGTCTCAAATATCAACCTGACTCCGGTGACCATGCTTCTCAACCCATGGGAATGTTTGTACCATGTACGAGTACGGTCGAGCCAAGTCACAAGTCTCGTACAGATCCGCCTGATTTGAAACCTATCAAATGCGTCCTGGTGCCATGTACAATTGTGAGTAAAACGGAAGAAGAGGTAAAGAGTGAGAAGATAGACAGAGAACAAACAAGGAAGACGAAACGATGTGTGGAAGAATGTCCAAAAGTCAAAGTAGAAAAAATGGTTCCGTGTTCCAAAGGCTTTACCGTCGAAATTAAATCGGAAGAATTATTGACTCGCTATAGAGAGTACATGTCACCTAACACGCTGTACCGATACGAGACTTCTCGTTCCAAGAGGAACGGTCTTCAAGACGAAATGAAGCTGCCCGTACCTCGCATGGTGCTCGAATTAAAAAACAAAGAAATTGAGGAACTGTGTCGTGAGGGATCCGCGAAGTTCGATGCGAAGGACGAGTGTCCCTGCTGACCACAAAACCGCATCGTGTTGATCTCGTTTCGTACAACGAGGGGGCTCGTCAGGATCGACTTATGCTCGATACATATTGTCAACGGGGTCCTTGTAATATTGTACAGTTTATTTCAAAGTGGAGTTTTATATTGTGCTTGTATTTGGTTTAATAAAGTATCAAAAATAAAATCTTGTGTTAATTTTTATTACGATTCTCCTTAAAACATTAATCAATCTATTTAATTTTTGAGAAAAGTTTGAAGAAATACTTGGCCTTGAACATACTATTTAAACATTGAATATTGAAATACAAATTCTTAGACGAGGGACAGGATATTAAAAAATACTTACTAACAGTATACGATTTGGTTCTTCAGAATTTGGTTAAAAAGACTCCGAGCGTACAGGGAAAGACATCGAACCATGAACGAAAGTATTCGAAGAACAAAAATCCAGCGACAGGGACGAAAAGGCTTCAATTGAGAAAGACTAAATCCCGAGAACTATACTCGGGGGTAGTTTACATAGATTGCGATTGCTATCATCGAAATGGACTGCAGCACGACTGTCCACGCACTGCTTGTGGCGGTAAATAATTTCCAACTAATATTTTGTTAAATAATTCGAGTAATTCTTACACGTTAAGTTAGGAAATTCGAGATCTCTGTGTATATCGTTTAAAAATCATTTTGTACAAAAGGGCCACCATGCCAAGTGAAACCATGGCCCGAGTGCGACATGGCGCTACACTTCATGGACAAGTGGGATAAGTACTATGAATTATTAGACAGATTGCCACCCACTTCATTTTGCGGCCCGAAAGAGAAGTGGTTCGCACTCCTCGAAGAAGAAGAGAGGAAGTTGAAGCAAAGGCGAGAAAAGCTGGAAGCTAAACGGAAATCCGAAGTCAAGGCTCCGCTTAAAACCGAGGAATGCGAAGAGATCGCGACGTGTGGTTGCCCCAGCAAATCTGTTCAAACTAGCCCAATTGCTGACCAATATTTAGTAGTCCCGCTTACAATGGAGAGAATATAAAAATAGGAATTTATAGTGCAGATTTGTGTATGTGTCCAATGAATCATGAAATTGTATTGTTTATACGTCTTATATGTGTTCATAAGATATTTGGATGTGTATGTGCGTCCGAATTAGTTATTCACGTATGTATTATTTGTAGAATATCAGAAAATACATACTTCAATTCATTATACTTTTTGTTACATATGTGTACACGTAATTTGTTAAAAAAAACTTTAGTACTAAATGATTATAAACCATGTTAATTTTTATATTTATTTTCTGTACTACTAAAATTTGCCAACATATTGCACACTTCTTATAACTACGTAAATAAGCTCGTACGAAGAATGAAAACTGGACAAACATTTCTAACGATGTTTCGGTTAATTCATATGCGATGCAAACTCTAGTCATTTGCGGCTATTTGCGTTTTGTGATTCTTTCCACGTTAGGGGCTCGTTACTAACAATAAGAGAAACAAATGAATCGAGCGTGTGTGAGTACCGGAAACCCGTAGTACATAGCTGCGGCTGCGCCAAGAATACTGCTTTATTTCCGGCGCGAGGAATATAGGATACGAAAATACCTTTGCCCGGAAGACGAACCATATAAGCCTGCTTTCAAGGAACTAATAATTCTTACAAACAGTCTATTAGTATATTAGTATAGTGCACTGTTAAAGATTCACGACCAAATTCAGCAACAACAAGCTTACTTGCCAATTCCCAATAGAATTAATCAATAAGATTATATTTAAAACTATTTTTATTTTTAGTAATGAATTATCATGTCCAGACACTTGCTGAAGAACTATGAAATAAATATAGATATCTCGTAAACACATATACGATATATTCTAAATTGTAAATGAAACGTATCGTAATAAACTAACTAACGTTGCTTCCAGCACATCCCAAATTCGGCTGATGTCAGAACTTGGGAACGCGTTTCATTGGCGGTTTAAAATCAGCCCACCTTGAAGATTAAAAGAAACGTGCGTACGGAAGGGAGCCGCGACTGCCAGGAAATAACGGAGCGCGAGGCGAACGACTTCCGTTCCACGGCGTTGTCATTTGCATCCACCATTTGCATTGTGGCGACGTCGCCTGAATAAAAAAGCGGGACTGTGCGGCCCCGCGCAATTTCTAACCACCCAATCCCTTCGTATCGGGTTCGATTCGTTCCTTGAAGCGAATCGACTTGGGAATACGTGAAACAATTTATATATTTCATCGATATATTATGAAATAGCTTATATGGTTATTCTATTCAATGCCAATTTTACTTCAACCATATAATAAATTGTTTCACTTTGAGACTTCAAATAAATAGTACATATGTATGTATGTATGTACTGTAAGTATTTATTTGAATATCTATCGATTCATTAGTGATTGGATCATTGCATAAATTCTATTGTTATTAATTGTATTGCACGAGAAAGAATTTGATAAATAATTCATGATTTCAATTTTACATTAAATTTTTTAAGATCCGCTAGTATTCAGTTAACAGTACTCGAGGAATGACTGTCATCCATACGTCGTGTTATATCATAATTAGTATTGAGAAAACAGCAAAAATATAAATCATTCAAAAGAACATACTAATTTTTTAATTAAATTAAAGAAAAACATCAAAAATCATAATTCTCTCCTCACGAATAAGTAGTCGAGCAAATCTCAAATGTCCTAGACAAAAGACTTCCACAAAAACACACTTGAATCTGACTTCAATGAAAAGCACGTAGTGTTACGTTCCAAATTTCTAAATTCATCACGAACGGTCGACAGTTCGAAAAACAGTGTACCTAAAATACCTAGTCTGCACCGAGGATTTTCCTCTTCCCCTTCCCCAATGAGAAACGAGATGGTATCGTGGCCGGGGTGTTCGTGCCCGGACCGTACAAACAACAGGGGTCTCGAATTTAAAACGAACAGTGTCACGAAACGAATCGAACAGCAGGAAGTGAACAGGGCAGAGACGGTGCAGCAAGAAGAGGACGAAGAAGCTCGAGAAAGCGTAGCGAGGAATTCGAAGAGGGAACGAGACAAAAGGCTGGGACATGCGAGAGGATGGGTACCAGCCTTAGGAGCATTCCAAGTGATAGGGAATCTACAAAGAGACGCAAGGGCCACGTGGGAGTATGTACGGGTACATCCCAGGCGATAGAAAGATGGCGCCTCGTGGGATCGATGAACAGGATGAAGTGGTTGTAGAAGACGGAAGATCTCATTTTCGTACTTATTTGGTCATGCAAGCATTAAGTACATTGATTGATGATACGTGTCTAACGCAATTTAAATATTTGGAAAACTGACACTGTTCATGGTATCCCTTACTCTACTCTGTTTGCTGCAGTTTATACATGTATTTACGTAAAGTTTGCGGAAGAACAACTACACCGCTTGAATTTGAAATATTCTTACTTCACGTTTAAAGGTATTATAATAGCAATATTAATGCAATTTTATAAATTACAGCAACGAATTACATAAAATACGACAGACTACGTGTACTACCAATGATACAAATTGTGTTCATAATGGAAGCGATATTCACGAAGTTAACTAAGTCCCGGATATGATAAATCTAAGTGATTAATTTTTATGTTTTACAAGACATTTTAAATTGCTTATAAGATTATGTACAAAGCTCGCTGCACATTCTTGATTAACTTTATGAAAAAGTGTCTTTCGTATCTTATCAGATACAAATTGCTTTTCGAATTATACCAGTTTTAAAGCTGGCATAAAAATGGAGAATCCACCATGAAACGACGCGCATAATATCGATATCTTCGCAATGCAAAAGACGTTAAAAGCGAATACCTTTAACTGATGCGCTTCGAGTTGGAGGCGTTTTTATCGGAGACCGTATAAACGCCCGGTGGAGAACGATTTTCGCCAACGTAACTGTTTATGTAATTTAAGACACGTGCAACCGTTACCGATCGCTTTTTGCGGTGGCACGAAATTTAACGCTACGTAATGCATGTACACGTAGTATGCAGCGGAGTAGCGGAGAAGAAAACGAGACGGGGTTCCGACGAAACTCGATGAAGAGGAACCGGAGAAAGAAAGGGACTCGACGCGGAGAACGTGACTTCACGAGACGACCACAGTGGTAGTCAGGTTGCAACCCGGAGGTGAACAACGGAAATGCAGGAATTGCAGTGTTAGAAATTCCAAACTTCTTAACGCGTTTATTGGGAAATCCTTGTGAAAACTGTTGAGTAATCCTTTTGCTAGTCATTGGAATTTAAAACAAATTGCAGACAAGAAAAAGATAGTTCTATATTCTTTTCTGCTACTTTATTTTTATTGTCTACCTACCGTATGTATTATGGAATATTATATAATAACAAAGAGATTGTAAATTGCGATTTCAAAGATTCATTCAATAATTGTTATTTTCCGAATAATTATACTTCCATTTTCAATTAATTTTATAAAAAGGAAGAGAAGAAATTGTTCTACTACTCGAGAGAAACGGTAATGATTAGACTCAACAGGCAAAGACATTCATTGAGCATCGAACAAAGGCCGTTTTACTGAAAACTGAGGTACTAGGTAGGCACGGTTGGCCAACGTGTGGCGAACAGACGTGGGAATGGAGTGAGATTTGAAAGGGAGAGAGATATGAGTGGTGGTGTGGCAACACGGTGGAACAGCCTCGAGTAACAAATTAGAACCACTCCGTCTGCCTCACATTTGCTGAACTTGGTGCGATTAGAAAAATGCTCATTAAGACCTTTTACATGCTTATACATTAGACCCTGAATGACTGTTCCCTGATTCACGGATGTTAAGTCACCAGAAGCAATTATCTCGTGGATTGATAAAATCTCAAGTTCAAATTGACGGTCCCTAATTATATCAAAAGCAAATATCACCGGGGACAATAATGTTTTAAACTATCAGCAAAATTATTTTCCACTAGAAACGCGAATCTGTGACGCTTTAGAAAGCATCACGGCCAAGGAAAGCGGGAGGCAGGGGCAGAACGCGTTTTACGGGCGTTACGTTACGCTTGTAGCGTGAAAGAGGTTAAATGGAGGACTCTACGAAGTGGAAATTGATTTGCCCGAGTAGCTGAGAGTAACGAGAGAAGAAAGACCGAGGTGAAGAA